TAGCTGCAGTACTGAGATCTCAATGACCAGCTTTTTCTGGGGTCCCGTAGAAACCAAACAGGCTCTGATCTCTAGTGAGCAATGGGGACGAAGTGGGAATTGGCCTATTTTTGTTGAGAGGTATAACTGTTTCTTTTAAACACCAGTCAGATGAGAAATCAGGCTTCCAAACCATAGGCAGAAGGGGCATCGCTTGGCCACACAACTGGTGATCATTTATTATGAAGAAATATTTTCCTAAGGAAAACAAGCCATTGCAAAAATAGCTGTTTCTTCTCACTGCTGTTTTCAGTCAGCTTGTCCCGGATACTATAATGCCTCTCCTCACTCAGATCCTGTTCCCAGCTGGTGTCCAGTGCTTCACCGCCTTGACACCATGAATTTGCAACCTGTGCCAAAATGCTCAGCAAGTGCCAAGGACACTAGGTATATCAGCATGTGGAGCCAAGCGATGGGAGACAAGGTGAGAAGACTCACCGCCCCTGCCAAATGCCACCAGCCTGTGTCCAGAGTGCATCTGCTTCCAGGTAGGAATTTCTCCAGCTTTCTGGCCTGCTGGCAGTGCCACCCCCATGTACTGGTGCTGGGCACCCCTTTGTGCAAATATTGGAGCTGCTGATGCTCAGGAAGCCCTCTGAGGCTCTCACGACACTTTTGGGAAGGTGAAGAGGGGTCACAAGGCTGATTTACAGCTTTGTCGATGAAGCGCGTTTCGAGCAGGAGACCACCTCAGACTGTAAATCCTGAATCCATGGACAGGCTTGGGCATGAGGAATGAGAAGGGCTTAAGAGTTTGTGTCAGACTAGAGCTCCGAGGTGCCAAAATCTGACCTTTCCAGATGGAAGGTTGTCAAAAAGAGCTCCAAAATGCTGGTGCTTGCCAAGCCTAGCTGCCCCAGTACATTGAGATCCCTATGACAACGTTGTTCAGGAATAAAGGCAGTATAATTGTCATAAATGGCGAGGTTACCAAAAAATAAAAAATAAAAAAGCAATACTGCATAGGAATGCATAATGTCTCCAAAAGGAGACATTAAACACCTATTATTTGACTGCCCAGACTGATCAGATGGATAAATATCCAAGAGCTGATGCAACACGGAGCTGACCTTGCCTCTAGCAGGACTGCATATAGGAGGGTCTGTGGTGGGATGCCCTAAAAGAATGTTTTCCTTTTCCAGCTGGTTATGCCATTGTGCTATTGCTATATTCTGTAGGTGGGTGATTATTAAATGTCAAGAGCCACTGCTCTTAAGGCTCCATTGTGTTTATGCTGTGTAACTGTATTTAAAGTGTATGCAAATGTCTCTATAAATATTAGTACAATGAGAACTGGGTTCTGGGGAAAAAGCTGATTTTAGAGAAGAGCAATTTTGAAGTCTTCTTGACACGGAATCAATATGGTATTCATGTAAATTATTTTGCAGTGGTAAATATTCTAGAGCCTTTACTTGAGCACTTGCTTTGCAATTACTTACATTAATTTATTTCCTTCCAGGTGAATTATTTCTAAAAACTACCTTTAACATGAATGAGCACTCAGAGTATCCTGAAAATATATAAATAATTCATGAGCTCATTAGTGGCATTTAGCACAGTCAACGAGCTATGTAGCCTTGATAGCTTTGACCCCAGCACAGAATCACCTGTATCTCAAGAGTGTCAGTTGAATAAGCCAAACAACCTGTACATACAAGAAAGGGTGAAGGGAAAAGCAACCTATCATCTGCAACAGTTGAGCAGATTTGCAGTCCCTCCAGCTCTGTGCCTATAACACACCTTTGCACTCCAAGATAACTAAAGTCCCAAATCAAAGCTCAAAGGGAAAAAGACATTTCTCATTCTCTCTAATGGTGGGTAGAAGAGACCAAATTCACTGGACAAAATAAAATGTGGCAAATCTTCTAGTTGCTTTTATTGCTTAAACTGTTCACAGGGTGATGCTTTGGGTTTTTTAGTAAGGCTTTCTGGAATTTCCACCCTGTGGAAATATTCCAGATTGCGGAGTAATAGCTTTGGCCTAATTCTAAAGAAAGACTAAACAAACCAAACACCTCTTTCAGAAAATCCAAAGGAAAAAAAAAAATCCAACCGGTTGGAATAACCCAAATTAGATTTTACAGTTGGCTAATAGTCTTTGGCCCAGCACAAAACTAAAAGCTCTGGCATAACTGAAATTATCCAGCAACAAATCATTCTAGCAGATAATTTCCTACTCCTTTCTATGCGATTTCCTGGAATTTTTTCCCAAACTGAAATGTAAAACAAAAAAAAATGCACAATTGAGATAGGAGAGAAAAAAAAAAGAAATTCTTGAATCACGAACACACAAGCATTGAATAAATGTCACCTGAATCAATATAAAGTACAACAGATGGAGGTTTCTGCACTGTTCTTCTAAATTAATTATTAATTTGTATTTTAAAGCAATCATCATTAATCTTCCTACAGCAGATTATGTTACTCTGCCTGTTATGATTCATTAAACCAGAAGAGAGTGAGATCATTACCATTTCAGTTAGCATTTTTCAAGCTGCCAGATATCTTCTAAGTATTTCCTGCAGCTGAGAATGTGTGTAACTTCCTTGGATCCGAGAGTCTGCTGACTCCAAACCCTGCTGAGAGAGTTTCTGGTGTCTTTGAGTAAGGGGAGCAACCTCCCTGCAGCTGATTCTGTCATATAGTGGGGACCATTTGCAGAGATTTGCTTCACTTGTCCCTCTTAGACTCTGCATCTACGTTTGAAACTGACCTGGACATTTTTAAGACCTTTGGAAGTAACAGATCCAAAAGCACCACTTGTTTCTCAGGAGGGTATTTCTGGTCACCAGTTGAGGCAGATCCAGCTAGAGCAATACAGAGCTTTATGAGAGGCTCTAGGTCCTACATTCATACATATGTACTATGTACCATGTTTGTACTAGGTCATTCACAGTCATTTGCAATAAGCAAGTTCTGTGTCCAGCAGCAGGGGAAAGACCAGTTTCAACACAGTGACTCCTTTCCATTTGCCATGTCCTTAAATATATTTTACAAATTCTAAGCCTGGCAGCAGGCAAGTATAAATTCATGCCTAGGTGAGAAAAAGGGATAAGATTAGAAGTGGTCAGTACCCCATCAACTGGAAAACATTTCCTAAGGCTGCTGCATCCTCACTCTGAAGCTCTGCAGAAAAAAAATGGCCAAGAGGCAGGGTGAAAAAACAGGGTCTGGGATTCTCAGAAGCTATAGTAAAACTGTTAATCTCCCAAATCATCAAGGAAACATCACCATTGCCCCTTCTAGACATAGAATGCTGTGGGAAGCGGTCAAATGATGATGTAGACCTGGGAAAAAGAAAAACCCCTGTTACTGCTTGTGGCTGGATTTGCTCTGAACACAGGATGGGACAACAGCAGGCAGGCACCTGACAGGTTCAGTGTTTCTCAGAACAACATCCTGCATAATACTGTCTATATCAGGGGCCAGGCTCCAGTGCTTCAAAGACAGGCAACACCAACAGCTATGTCAGGACCTCCTACAGTCAACAAACACAGAATTAAGACCATGAACACAGTGCAGGCTAACACCAAGTTAGTATTATTTTCATGCCCTCATGTTCAAACCAAGTAAATCACATATTCAGAGATTCATAACAGAGTTTTCTGCCTCCACCATGACATGCAACTCTTTCTGCAAAGTGGTTTGCAGTTTACTAGGTTCTATTTTGCAGCTATGCTGCTTATAAACTTAGTATGTTGAATAAAGGTATCTTCTCCTTTGGGCATGTTTCCAGATAAGCACAGAGGCTCTGCTGAGCTTAGGCAGAAGTACAGGGAGGGCAGGAAAAGGTCTCCAGCAAATGATGCCCTCGGCCTTTCTGGACCATCAGACACCTTGATGGAGAGGAGCAGCTCCGTTCCCCTCATGCCAGGAGTTTGCAGGAGCATCAGCCCTTTCACCAGCCCTCATCAGCCTGGGGAACGTAAGAGGCTGAGCATGTGTGGCACATGCAAACACCTGAGGATGCCCGGGCAGCACATGGCTGTGTGCCTCCTGCCTGCTGCCATCACCCTGCGGAGATGTGGTGGACATGCAGGTTCCATAGAGCGGCCGCTTACTCACCCTGGCTTCCTACTCCATTCACTGCTTATTCATGGCAGAAGCCAACTGCGGTTTATAAACTAAGGCTTTTCTCCCCTTCTTGGAAAAACCCAGATTGGAAAGTTCAGAGACGAAAGCACTTGGAGGGGCAGCTGTGGGAGAAAGGTTGCTAAAAATAGACTATTTTTTTTCTCATTTCTTTTGGTGCAATTTCCTGGTTGCGTTATTGAAAGAGCAATGACAGGAGGGATGAGATGTAGCAATAGCATAGAAAGGACTAGGTAAGATCAAAAGAGCCAGCAGCACCATGACGTGGAAGAAAGAAAAAAAGGGTTAGAGGCAGGGAGGATTCATGAACTAGTTGAAAAATAAACAGCCTTTGTCCACCCCCACATCTACGAGTCAGCCTTGTTTTCCTGAGACTTTTACACATGAGGGTTGCCAAAAGGAAAAAAAAATAAAGTTAATTGCAGCAATTATATGATTAGGGCATTTTCACTTCCTAAACTGGGAGACAGAAATTCCCCTAGGTCATATGACCTCTTTTGAAACCCTACCAGGAAGATCAGCAAGAGTGGAGAGCAAGTGCAGGGCGTTCTCCATCTGTACAAAAGCCTCTCTCGCATGAGCCAGACATCAGAGCAGAGTGGGGATGTGAGTGTGTGCACAGACGTAGCAAAGTGCTGTGCAAACACCCTCTTAGTCAGGTTTTCTCTTGCACCGTTCTCTGGTTCTGTGCTATCTGACAGATGTTTTCTTTTTTACTTTCTTCCTTTTTTTCTTCTTTTTTGATTTGTCTCTGCTACTTGACTTTGCGTACGTCTCCAGAGCAGAACTTCTCAAAGGTGCTTTCCTGCAGCACATCTTCCTGAGAACAACCCTCCCCTCTTCTGAAGAAGAGCCAGCCACCAGCTGCTATGCTGGGGCTAGCAGCAATGAGGACGTGGATTGAGCCAGTTGTTGCAGGCTCCCAGCTGGCCAGCGCCTTCTACGACACAGGGCTACTAATGGTGGTGAAGAACTACTACAACCAGACCAACCTGACCTCCCCTTCTCACACACTGCAAGATGCTCAGCAGAAAGCTGTCTCTAATTTCTATATCATCTACAACTTAGTCCTGGGCCTGAGCCCACTGGTGTCAGCCTACGGTTTGTCTAAGTTGGGGGACAATGTGCATCGGAAGATACCCACGGGGCTGCTGCTTTCAATGGGCTGACAGGCGGTTTCACCACACTCTGGGCAGGTGTCATGGCTCTGGGATCCCTGGGCTCCTCCGTGAGCAAGAGGTCTCTGCGGCTTATCATCATCGAGCTGGTGTACGGTCTGGCAGGCTTCCTGGGAAGCATGGCATCGGGGTACCTCTTTGTGGGCTTCAGCAACCACTATCGAGAGGGCACAGTGCTGGTAGGCTGCAGCATTGCCTGCTATGCTTTCTGTCTCCTCTACAGCATTTTTGTTCTGAAAGTCCCCAAGACAGCAGCTTCCTGCCCAGCCAAAGCAAAGGGCACAGGGGATGGTGGTGACCAGGTACCAGACAGCGCAGGAGCCTCACAGAATTCCTCCTCTTCTGAGAGCATCAATCTTGCACCAGCATCACCCTCAAAACTTACCATTGTCATGCTCTTTGCTGGGGCAATTCTCTACGACCTTGCAGTAGTTGGTGCTATGAATGTGCTCCCACTCTTCTTGCTCAAGGAGCCTTTAAGCTGGAGTCCTGTGGAGATTGGCTATGGCAATGCTGCAGGGTATGTGATCTTCATCACCAGCTTCCTAGGAGTATTTGTGTTCTCCAAGTATTTTAGGGATACTACAATGATCATGATTGGAATGGCATCCTTCAGCACTGGCATCCTCATCATGGCCTTCGTGCAGTGGACCTTCTTGTTCTACATCGGTGAGCTGAACTGTGGTGTGTGCAAGCGAGCACAGTCTGAGAAAGGAACTGGGATGTTTCTGTACTACAAGAAGGGTCTTTGCTCTCTTTTACTGAGAAATCCAGGGCAGGGAGCTTAGTTGAGGCTCACAAGAATAGTTCACAAGAGGCTTTCATGATGAAAGTAAGTTAGACCTGAGGCCAAACACCAAGGTCAAAATAGTGTTCAGCATGATAATCAGCTTTCTCTGGTTTCCCTGCTCTTTTCTCTTCTTCCTACTCATCTCAACTGAGCAGCACAACCACCCCTTCTTTCAGCAGCTGACAAAACCCAACTGCCAAACCTGCCCTCAATAACCTCCACTCACCCAAGACATAGCTACTCTGAGTCACCAAAATCTGTAAGACTTCATAGTCAAGAGTTTTATCATTGCCTTTCCCAATGTTTGGCTTTAGATCATTACACTCCGTGCCCTATGATATCTCAAAGAGGCATCCACTTTTGTTAATGCTTAATTTAGAGGCTAGTTAACTTATAATTTGTTACTTGGCCATAATCCAAACCTGTGCAGGGAAACAATGCTTATGGCATGTGGGACAACTCCTGTCGTCTACCACTACTAGTGAGACAATACTGCTGGATAATTCATGTTTGACAAACAGAAAGAGTACATCACATGGCTTCAAGGTCTTGTTTCTGAAAGCGAGGAAAAGACCCAAGAAATGACCTGAAGAGATTTTCCTGTGCATCCATAGAGGGAATGAGAAACTGAAAATCAAATTCAGTTATTTTTAAAAGAAAAGATGTAGATAACACATTCAGTGTACTAAAAGCAGACAAGAAAGTGAAATTTTTGAGATTTTGTTTACCCACATGAAAACAAGGCCGGGGGAAAAAAAAAGAAAAAAGCAAAAATAACATAATGCAAATGTATGTTTAAAATTAACATAACCAATGCATACTGCCACACAGTTTACAAGATGCTTGTTCCTTTATTGCTGTAGGAACACCCCAGCACACTGGGCATGGTCTGAATCTTTGCTGACAGGAAGCCAGTTCCAGTTCCCTTAGAATTTCTGCACTAAAGAGAGTTTAAATTACTCCAGCCCAGGCCAGACACACCATGTTACCAAACTAATACAGTCACACTGTCCTGCAGCACAGGATCTTCTATCTGCTTATAAGATACATATCTTCTATCTCACCTATCACAGAGAACAGTGCTATATTCCAGCTTGGTTGGGATTTCAGGTCAGGCAGAGACCAAGAAACTCCAGATCTAGGGAAAGTAACTGCCAGTCAGAGCAATAGGTCATGTATCCACAGTTCCTAGTAGGAAGCAAGGACCTATGGACAGGTTTGTACTACTTTGTGGTAGACCAAGGGCAAGAAAGACAAAGCAAAGGCTCCTTGCAGGCTCAGGCAGGTAGTCTTTAAAAGCGACACTTTTATCATGGGACAGGAAGCAGGTATTGATAATAACTAAATATTTGTTGCATTACAGCACGGGCAGTGATGCTTTTTGCCCTCATCCCCTTACCAACCATCAGGTCCATGTTATCCAAGCATGTTGAAGGGTCATCTTACGGTGAGTATTTTGGTTATATTATCAATCAAATATCCCAAGCCCCTTCATTCAAGCTAGAATACAAAGACAAAAGTAAGTTTTTGCTGTCAATTACATATTGCATGATAAAAACGGAGCAGTTTGTACCATAGAAGGGAAGGGAGGAGCAGAAAGACCTGCAGAACTGGATTGTCATGTAGGAACTTCTCCCTGGTTACTTCATCAGATACCCACAAAATTTTCAGCACGTGCTTTAGATTACCATCAGTGTGCTGCTCAAAGGCAGGGAAAAGAAAATCTCAGGTACTGCTCAAAAGCACAGTGCTCCAGGGAAAACCAAGAGAAGTAAGATGTTGCAACAACAGCAACATGACAGTCACACCATTTATGTTTGTCTTCTTTTACTTTCAGCTTTTGGAAGGAAGAACTTCCTTCATCTTTTTTTTTTTTTTTTTTAGTTACACTTTCTGTCTCCTCAGAATGTTTATTGGTAGTTTGTTCCTACTAAAATGTGATAAAACTTCTGCATGAAAATTGTCACTTTTTGGCTAGCAGGAGGAGAAATATTTAATTTTTTCTATTAAAAATATTTTAGAGAATATTCATACATGCATTTTAAAACATCATGTTGGAAGCTACCATTTTTACTCTAAAGACCTTGACTCAGACGTAGCAGCTTGTGCCTTCTCGGAATATGATCCCAAAGCCTCCTTGCTCTCCTTTTGCTTTCTGCCGTATGATCTCAGTACTCACAAAATTCATTCGGTCCCTTCAGTAACCAGACATTTTACTCCCAGATCCATGTTCTTCTTCTTCTTAAAGCCAGGAGCACAACCCAGCTGGGTCACAGCAGTTCAGGCCTGTGCAGCCCCACCATGGTGCAAACACACAGGTCCAGAGAACTGACAGCCTCCAGTGCATAGGCCAAAGACCTCTAACATACATCCATATTACTGGGTTAAGAGAAAACCCAGTTCAAACTAGAACATGCTGTTTTTTTCCCCTTCTTTAATCAGGAAGTGCAAGCTCATGTAGATGGCATTTGTTTATAGCACAGAGGTTTTAGGTTCAGCCCATGTCCAGGTATTCACCTAGGCAATTATTTTATCAGTGGAGAGTTATTTCATGTTATGTCATATCTGAGTATCTCACAAGCCCAAAGAGATGCAGAAATCAACCCGCAGTGCTTCTGTACAGCCTCTAATTTCCTTATCCGTGTATTGCTGGATAATACAGGAACAGTCATGTAGGAGCCGTTCACTCCTATCACTTGTGCTCCTTAAGGTCATCTGTAACAAGCCCACCTTGCTGGCACAAGTAACGCAATCCAGGGAATTGGCTTTTTTGTCCTGCAACAGAAGCAGACCCTGACCATAATCTGTCTGATTATCAAAAGATGCTAACGCAGGTCTGCCTTTTTATATCCTATGGAAATGAGTGCTTTTATTACCCAATCTATTGCTGCTTTCTCCAGCAGCTACCTCAACTCTCAGATTGAGCAATGCGGATTAGTAACTGTTTAAACAGCCGATTCTCTAAATAGCTCTTTTGTCCTACCCCTTATGGAAAAAAAAGGAAAAAAAGAAGGCATTTAATTCCGGTCCAGAACAACAGCAGATACAAGATCACACTGTCTGGTGCTTGTTAAGCAATCACCGCCACGCAGTGGGCATTTGTGTGGAGTCTGCAAAGATGCAACACAGCACTTTTTTTCTCCTCAGTGAGATGCTGTTTTCTTGTTTCACAGGTAAGGTATTTGTCCTGCTGCAGTTGTCCTTAGTCATCACGGGAGTAGCGACATCTACCTTCTACAACAAGATCTACCAAAGCACCCTGAACTGGTACAGCGGGTTCTGTTTCATTCTGTCTTTCCTATTTGGCTGCCTAAGTCTCCTCCCTCTAAGGTAAGAAATAGAAAGGTTCTTTCCAAAAAACAGTAACTTTTCTTCATTCTGCCTCATTCTGGGTCTAAAATATGCAATGAAGAATGGAGAAAGAAAAACATTTTTGTTTTGTAACAACAAAAATTCTGCAGAACTAGGTCCACAAATATCAAGAAGGTTCTAAAAATGAAACTTGCAAGTGGTTTAGACAATGTTTAATCTTTTTATTTAACATGACATGAATTACTGTAGGAGGAATATTTAGCTGAGCTTAAGAGCTAATAATCCCATGGGACAAAGGCTTCATGCAAAAGCAGTGCTTGGTATTACTGAAACAGTATTAAGTAGAGAGAGGGAATAATCCTTTATAAAGCAAAAAATATTTTTAAATACATTACAGGTTATTTATTCAGTGTGAAAAAAGAGGAATTTCAATCTCCCTATGGTGTTTCTTTCAAAGGGAAACAATTACCACACAGCTGTGGAAATAAGTCACTTTTCTGATGTCCAGCAAAATTTCTCAACTCAACAACTAAAGAATGACTGAGATCTGTAATCTCAAGTGCAAGTTTTAAGCACAAAATAGTTCAGCTTAATTTCCGGGGAGAACACTGAAAGAGTATTTCCAGGACACGACTACCGACTCCTCTGCAGTCTTTATGAGGGCTCTTCTCCATCTCTCCCATGTCACTGAGCCCTCCCCAGATCCCTCCAGCTCATGGGACGCCCTGAAATGACAGTATTCTGCCAGGGTGAAGAATATTGAAACTGCACAAATCTGCAGTTTCACAGTCGCTTTTAATGTGGTCTGCAAGTAGAGGCTGAGTGTTGTTACATGCTCAAAACAGAGTCACCAATGCCTCGAATCTGAAAGAAGACAAATGGTGTCCCTTTCACTGCTTGAAAATGCAGCACCTTATAGAGAAGCTGGCAGATTCTCCCAAGGAAGCCCACGAGCACTCAGCCAGCTCCAGACAACTCAGCAATGTTTAAACTAAGACAAAAAGGAAAGACATGAGGAAAAAGGAAACTTTGGAAAGTAGCTTGCTAGCTTTTCTCTTATAACGTGCATCTTTATCGTTCTTTACAGCATTGTGGCCTTCAAACAACGTTCCACCACTGGTTCCCTTCAAATTCTGACAGACTGACAGCAGCAGCAGCTAAAACATCTTTTCTCTAAGCTGACCAAGGGGAGGTTTTGCAGCCAATAGTCCCTACAGATTTGAAAGTGAAAAAAAAAATCAATATTTCTATTCCATAGCAATTCACAAGGTCTTCGCCGCCGAACTGAGTCAGGACTGAGGAGCTCCCCTTGCTACTCTGTGAGATGGCACTGCAGGGACATTATTGCATGCCCAGTGTCTAATTTAGAACATTTTAGTTTCACTCTAGGCTGTTTAGCAATATGAACTTAATAGTGCACGCAGACAAGGCGCTCAGTGCAGGGGCCCCCACGCAGCACGATGCCGGTGAGCGGCGCTCCGCAACATCCCGCGCTCCGACGGGGCACAGAGCCGGCGCGCGAGTGCCAGCCTGGCCCGGCAATGCTGCAAGGAAGAGCACTGACACACAGAGAGACCATTAAAAAACAAAAAAACCCACTGTTTTATAATCTCTGCAATAAAACACTACTGACCAGATGTTTATTTTCCTGATTTCTGGGAGATCGTCATTAAAATGACTAGACCTTACAGAAGGCCATCCATGATTTAAGAGCTGACACCGGCATTTCTACTCATGACACCAGGACATATGACTTGTGTAACAACTTAAGAATTGGTAAGCGAGGCACACGACCATAGTTTCTGTAGGAGGCACAGGGACCCTGATGCCAGCGTGCAGTCATCTGGCCAGATCTATCCCTTCAGCGTGGTTCACAGGGGGTTGCTGTCATGCCCATTACCCCTCTATGGATCCTACCGCACTCCGACCTCCACCTCCACGCTCCTCTTTCAAGCTGCACGAATTATTCTACAGCAACGAACAGATAAGACTTAGCTGAGTCTGCAGAGCAACAGGCTTTTAAGAGAAGCACATTTGCAGTAGGACTGTGAGCTGCCAGCAAAGCTAGTGCACACATCGTAACTTCAAAGGTGAAGACTGCAAGAAAAGAAACATTTATTCTAGGTAAAGAAGTCATCTTTTAATACATTTATTGGTCCATTCCTTTAAATTAATCGAGGTAAAGAAACGGTGCATTTTAAAAAAAATGTACACGCTAATAGAGCATTACAAACAATTTTACCTCAAAATGTTTTTCTCCATCAATACTAGTTCCATAGTAAACAATGCACAAAGTATATTTATACAGAGATATATGAAAGGGAATAGAAGCATGCCAGCACCAGAAATCAAGACAACATTTTATAACCTGTGAGTCTGAACAAGAGTATAGTTGGTAGATTTGGTTGAGTGTGTGAAACAAAAGCCTCGTTCTCATTTTTACATCATTTAGTTGCTAGTTCACAAAAGACAAGTCTTTTCACAGCTTTTGTTTTGTTTTTTAATGGTGTGAGTATGTGAAGTAAACATGTTCCAGTGAGCAGGTCTTTACACAGGTCGAAAGTAGTACACATTTTGCACAATGAGCAAGCAACGTTTCAGTCTCCAGTACTGATATTGGAACATAAATCGAAGCAAGCCTGCCTTCATGCACATGGCATAGCGCTCTCAACCTTAAGAAGGAGCAGATGTACGTAGCTATAGAGGAAGGAAAAGAAATAAGGTGGTGCTGTGCTGTTTCCGTATGCTAAAGACCAAAATCCGCGGTTGATCGCTATCGTAAGAAAAACATCTGTCCCTCTGGCTGGTGGGGAAGTAGCCCTGGCTCCAATGGGGTCTGGAGGCGTAGATATGTACACCAGTGGCAGAGTTAACACAACGGTTCATCATCGAAGTGCAGAGCACCAAGGCCTTCGGAGTAGGTTTGGGCAGCATCTAGCCTTTGGCAAGTCACTTACACAAAGGTAATATATGTCTTTCTGCAAAGAGTATTACTCTTCGGAAAAGTAGCATGCTTTAGTCAAGCAAGCTTGAAACTCATCCTGTTCGTTACAGAGTACTTATATGCAACAGATACACTGGCAGTACTCCATAGTGCCAAGTATAGCATTAATCACATCCATTGGATTCCTTAAAATTTGTTAAGCAGAAGAGCCCAAAAAGTTTAAAATGCAATCTTCATATTCCTCAAGGTCAAATAATTCATTCCTGCAGCCCTCGGTTTTACTCCCAAAAGTATTTTGCAAGTACAAGCAAGTTCCCCATCTTCAAAAGAAGCCTCATTTCTCCTATTAACTGGTTATTGCAGTAAAATGTTAAATACCAAGAGAAAGACTGTTCTACCCTTAAAATTTAAGGAGGCTGAACTAGTTAATTTCTACCTATCACATTTTGCACAGAGTGATCATAAGCACCTGAATCTTAGATTTTTAATGCTTGCAAAATTAATCATGCACAATTTCTTGAGAGGAATAAGTTTCAACAAAAGCATGGATCTTATCAAAACACACGCAGTCCTTGTGGGGCTGGGATTTTTTTTTCTCTATGTTAATGTCTACAGGACTGACCCCTGAGGCAATATAATACATCAGGAAAGGGCTGGGGAGAGCAACCCCTCCAAGACTCTCTCACCGTAGCTCCGCAGCCCCTTCACTGCCACTTACGCTTTGCTTTTGTTCCTTTCTGCCACTTGTTCCACTGCTTTATCGCTAGAAGAAGTGTCACTGTGACAAAAAAAGAAGTCAAAACAGACTGCATTGAAGAATCTGTAGTTTATTTTTGATGCAACTTATGTTTGAAGAGTTAATGCCCTTAAAGGCTATACCCAACACCATTTTTCAATAGATACCTGAAAAACCTATAGCAATGTTTTAATCTCTAAGTTTATTGCAACAGTCAGAACCTGATGATATGTATGAACAACAGTTCATAACTGAGCATGAAAACAGGATCTCAGTGCTTGCTTTATTGTGCTGGTGCCACTTCAGTAAGAAATAATCCAGAAACAGCATGCAAGTAACCAGAGACAGCAGTGAATTAGGCATTCTCTGAGACAAAACTTGGTCTCTCTCTGGATTAAAAGGTAGATTGGGCTAATTTAAGTGTTTAAGGACAGGCATCCTACACAGACTCGCAGGAAGGGTGCAACTACTTTTGATACCACTTGACTGCATGCACAGAAGGTGACCCTAAGTGACAGGATACTCAAGTTGGTCAAACATGGAGCCCCTGCACCACTCTTGTCTGCTTCCCTTTCACAAAATCACTGGCTTTTAACCATTAGCACTTGGGCTTTTCCAATACAGAGACACAGAAGGTTTACAAGGTCAACACTGCAGAGTTGCACTAACAGCTCAGGCAGGTCTCAGCCTCCCAATAACTGCAGTTAGTTCACATGCTCTCTACATCCTGAAGAAACTTCTTGCCTTTTTCTAGGTTGGCCTCTGTGCTCTGCTGCATCATGTCTCAAAGCCAGGAGTCTCCCCACACTCCACAGCCTCTCCCACAGTAACAATCTCGTGCTTTACAACGAGAGCTTTTCTTAAGAACACTCCTCAGTAGCCCTTGCCACTTCTACACACTCTTCTATGTGATTCTTGCATAGGATTCCTCTTTCTGAGAAAGTTTTACTTTCCATGTAAACATTTGAGAGGTTTTGTTTTTTTCAGTCCTCCAAAAAATCCTCTTCCAAACCACACACAGCCTGAAGTAACAGATCCAGCCTTTCATCCCAATTAGCTTGGTAGGTGCTGCAGAGCCACACACTTCAGGCAGGAAACAGCCTGCCTGCCTCCCAACAGCTTCACCAGAAAGGGATTTATGTGAGATGAAAACACAACTTGGTCCACTAGTAAAGAGTCTGACTTCAGAATCAGAAGCCTCAGATTAATGAAAATCCACAGAGTTTCAGCAGCTTCAGCAGAAATAGTTGTTTGCCGACAGAAACTTAACTTGTGATTCCCCATTATCTGTTATGCTTCTCACTTACAGCTGCACTTCCCAGTAGGACCTTACACAGAACCTCAATCTATTTCAGCGGTGGGGAGTAAGACATAAAAAGACATAAACCTTGTCAGGCATCAGGCAGCTTAGTTACCTGTAAGAGAGAGATACTTTCTGCTTGTCTTGTGCTCCTTTTTGATGGGGGTAGATGGAACAATGTCTAAATCTGAGTTCAAATTAAGTTTCACTTGACTCCCAATGATGCAGAGTCAACTTGGAAACTTCATTTCACAGGAAGAATCCAGGTCACAAAAGGTTCCTGAGCAAAATAGTCAGATGACCTCAGTTTGTGGGGAAGTAGGAAGGCCTAGAAGGACAGTCTTTTATTTATCTTATGAGCGTGGAACTGAGAACATGGCTCATCTACTGACTCTATCCCTGAAGGTGGTCAGATTATTAATAATACGCTTTTACAATAAATTATCCTAAAAGAGAAGAAGAATGGATAAAAATAACGGGCATTGCTTCAAGATAATCCCTTTAAACTCCCTCTTTGAAAAGAGTGGTTGGTTGTTATGCACCTAAGAGCATCCTAGTAGCAATCTAAGGCAGAATTCCTTCTTACACCAAGTAAGAGACCTTGGCAGCTTGAATCGCGAAGCGTAATTTTTGTTTAGTGCTCCAAAGATGTCAAAGGAAGTCATGTGAAAAACAAAAACCTCTTAAATGCCTTGAACTTGATTTTCCCCACACAGGGAGTATCACATTGACAGCCACCATGCTGCAATGATAACTCATCTTGATGGTTGCGATGGAGCCTCCGGGCTGAGCAGAGGAGCTTCAGGCACATTTCGTGTTTAAGGACACAATCCAAACCAAAGTGGTATTTGACACATCACCACAGGATAGCACAAGAGCTGTACATTTCCAATTTCTGCACTCAGGTTCTTTCCAAGAGATCAAGTAGCCGATCAAAAGTTTAGTAGAAGTATTCAAAAGTATTTATTCCTCCGAGTCCTGATGTTACTTTGATACAAGTCCCAAACCTCCACATTTCTTATAGATAAGAGAGTTAACCCAGAATTATCTGCACGCTGTTATTAACCCAGAATTATCTGCATGCTGTTACTTCTCTGATGGACCTCAGATCCATCACGGCAGCATTAGGTTCTCTAGAAGTTATCTAAGGCCACTATCAACATGGGAGCAGTTACTTGTGACTG